TGGGAGCTACCACCTAGATTTCCATGCCCAATTTGGTAGAGAAAAATAAATCAAACACTTTCAGAAAGATCACGTGAGTCATAAGAAAGGAGCACAGGGATTTAGATTATCCAGGGGGAATTTATCCAAGGGACTTTGGTCAGTCTGAACACATTATTTGTCAATAAAATGAAGAAGCATTAGAACCACCTTAGAGAACAGCTTAAGAAAATTAAATAGCTTCTTAAAATTGTAATTTTTTTAGTTATAAAATTAATCATGAATAGTATAGTATTTCATTATAGAAGGAAAGAAAAGAGAGCGAGAGAAGGAAAAAAAGCAAAGAGAGGAAGAATGAATCAGGAATGCAGATAAAGTCATGGTACCCTATCTCAATTGCCTCCTTAGGTTTAAGTATTGCTCTGGCTTGTGTCTGTTTCTCTCTCTCTCTCGTTCTCATCCACATGCACCTTTCTAGCCTACTAAAGATAAATAACTTGTGTGGTATTCTGAATAACTGGTTTCATTATACATGCACATACATAGTTTATATATCTATATAGAGCTTTTTTTAAAAAAAATTTACAATATGTATTGGAAAAATTTCCACATCTTGATCTACCTCATCTATTTTAACTGTTAAATGGTAATAATGATTATAATTGGCAATTGTTTAGGGTTTCACAGGTGCCAGACACTATTTTAAGTGCTTTACTATTAGCTTATTGAACCCTTATAATGATCAATTTATGAAATAAAAAACTGAGTCACCAAGCATTTAAGAGTTGCCTAAGGCCAAAATTACCCAAAATTCCCAGCCAGTCAGCCTCGAGGACCTGTGAGCAGAAGCATCACATATAATGTACCAGATCCCATTGTACAAATGTGCGACGATTGATTTAGCAATTCACTACTGATGCACATTCAGGCTTTTCATGATTTGATGATGATTTTCATGATTTTCATGATTTGACAAACAGCCATAAAGAATTTAGTGGACATTGGGATACAATGAGCCAGTTTCCACAGATGACTAATTCTTTTCAAAAACCAAATGTAATGAATGTTCAAATTTACTTAGCTTTCAGAAAAATCATGACTTTTCCTAATAAACTATGGTAATTAACTATATGACAAAATTCTTGTAATTAAGGGATAAATTGCTGGCATAAAAACAAAGAATGCTTGCATGCTGTAATTACTCTGTAGCTTATAGTTTATCAAACATGTACTTTGAACATAAAAGGTTATATAAGTACATAACTTCTAAAACAGATCCTCTACCTTCTCCACACAAAAGTGACAACCAGAAAATAATAGTTTGGTATAATAATGTTAAAACTATTGGGTATGCCTGCATCCCTTACACTCCTCAGGAGGCCAGCTTTGGGGAACTAATGTCACTCTCCAACTATCAATTACGAAGATCAAAGTACTGGGAAGAATTTTTCATTTACTTGTTTACTAATATGAACTACGATGAAAGCGACACAGTAATTCCTCACTCAACGTCGTTGATAGGCTCTTGGAAACTGTGACTTTAAGCAAAACGACATATAACGAAACCGATTTTACCATTGGCTAACTGCTGTAAATAAGAAGATCCTACTGCATATTCCTGGTCACAAAAATGTCATCAAACTTCTAAATAAAGATCAAAACACTTCAAATATTAAACATTGAAACAAACGTGACTATACATACATTTAAGAAAGATGAAAAAACACAAGATTTACCCAATTATGATAGTTCAGAGTTGTAGGTGGCCAAAGCCTATCCCGGCAGCTCGGCGCACGAGGCAGGCACCAACCGTGGCCAGAACACCATCCATCGCAGGGCGCACTCACACCCACGCCCACGCCCACACCCACGCTCGCTCACAGTGGGGCCATGTAGACAGGCCAGTTCACCTAAGGTGCAGAGCTTTGGGATGTAGGAGGAAAATGGAGCACCCGAAGAAAACCCACATAGACCTGGGGAGAACAAGTAGACAGTGGCCCTGGCCAGAGGTCAATTGTTTTTCCTTATCAGTGTTGGAATGAACACATTGAATGAAACGACGAAATGATGATATTCAAGGACTGCTGTGTATTTACTCCAAATATTTCTTATTACAAAAGAAAAGAAGACAGCTCTTATAGGCTTCCCTTAGAGATGGCCTGCCTTCCTTTCTGGCTGATGAGCACCAACGCATATCCTCTCAGCAGCAGAGTTCCAACAGGAAGGCTGAGATGCATTTGCAGCACCTGGCGCCCCATCTCCCTGTGGTTTGTGTGAGTTCAGGGCAGCGGGCAAACAGCTTGCGCTGCCAGGGAACAGGAATGGAAGGACAGAAGAGGAAGCTGGAGCTCAGCAGGGTGTGGTGCCAGAGCACCTTGGTGAGTAAGGGGAGAATGGAATCAGGTTCGAACCATCTGCGTTCCCTAACTACAGAGTGAAAGTAAAGCACAAGAGTTTGCCATGAACAAAAAAAAATTAATAAAGAAGTTAAAAAACACTCAACTCTAGCAATTTATAGATTCCAGTAGAATATTTCTGCATTTACCATCTACTACTTTAAGATTGGGAATAAAAATGAACTATTAGCATAAAATCAACAATAGGAATTTTGAAATCATTTAATATATAGAATGCTGTTATGGTATATAAGAATATCTGGTAATGCAAGGAAGCTACTAAAGAACCTTCATGCAAATAAAATATGTTAAAAAGCAGAAGATTGTGATTATTATCAAAGTTAATGTCAGAGGTATATAAAAGAAAAAGACTCTGTAATCTCGACTATGTTTCAAAATGTTTCAGATCTCTTTCTAAATTCCACTGCTTTCTATCTTTATTTACTAAGTTAAACATGATCTAATTTTGTACATGTTATTCAGTTTTTAAAACATATATTTTCTCATATAGGTATGCATCTCAAAACATTATATTGTAGATTTTTTTCTCTGCTGCTTATCAACAATGTAGACTTTTGTGAATTACTTAACCATTTGGAAGTTCACTTTTCTTAACTGTAAAATGAGGACATTTATTGTAATAGGACATCAGCTAAGCTACTATAGAAGAGAAATTAAAACAATCCAATGGCTTAGAGGAGAAAGTAGTTCATTTCTTTGTTAGACCCCTCGAGGGTGGGTATATGGACTCTGTTCCATGAGCTCATCCAGAGACCCAGACTGGCAGAGTAGATCAGTCATCTTACAAAGTGACTGCCAAGGTTGCTCCAGTCATTACTTTTTCCATTTGGTGAGAAAGGGTAGAGAATGTCCAGGGCAAGAATCTTCAAAGAGATTAAAGCAGAGGTTACACTTATCCCTTTTTGGCCACATAGTTACACCAAAATGCAAGGAAAGCTGGGAAATATAGATTGTAGCTGGGCAGTCATGGGTGTAGCTAAAACTGGGGGATTCAATTACTGTAGGGAAGAAGGCAAGAAGGAATACTGGTGGACTATTAGCAGTCTTTGGCCACTATAATGAGACCCAGCTTTAAAAATTGTTGTGAGGACTGAAATTATAGAGCAGAGATATGTTTTGGTGGAATTTATGTAAACCATCAACACAGTGCTAGACATATACTGATGATGATTAAACAGGAGCCATTATTAGTATTTGTATAATTGTTATTATTTAGTACCTCTATCCTTACCTGAATGCTTGAATTTCCTCCAAAGTATCATGGATAATTGATTATTTAGCTATTCTGGAATCTCTATAGTAAAAGGAAATTTCATCTCTCTTAAGGCTGCCATTCTATTTTTGGAAAGTTTTTCTCTTCTTTCAGTCATTATTTACATTCTCACATTCATTTTCCTTCTTTTGTTGTAATTGTGATCTCTGACATCCTCCAGAACACATCTCTGTCATATAACAGTCCTTCAGGTACTTGTGGGAAGCTATTGCTTCTTTCCTGAGTTTTCTTTTTTGCTACACTAATCATTTTTTTGTTCCTCCAAGAGTCCCTTCTAATGTACGACATTAAGTCTAGATACATCCATTCACTCATTTAACAAATATACTGAGTGTCAGCTAGTCTATCAGAGCCTGCTTCAAAACTGTGTTGTCGAGGTTAGTACCCAGTATTCCAAGTTTGACCAGAGCTTTAGTCCAAATATGAAACGTTTCCTTTGTTTCTAGTTAAGTAGTTTCTTAGTTTCTCAAGAATTTTTATTCTTTTATCCAATGTATTATCTCTCACAACTTCACACCATGTGAACAATTGATTAACATGAAACTGAACTGTTCATCAATTGTTCATTTTGATCAAGATATTAATCAAAATGTGGAAATGAACAGGTCTGAGGAAAATCTCTAGTAACCTCTTGAGCAATCATTTAACTAGTTACAATGCACGTAACTGCATCAACATTTAGCAAATATCCTATCTGGTGCACAAAATCTTGAGAAAAGTTTTTGTCAAGTTTCTGTGCTCATTGCCATGCTCAATGAGGCCTCAACCTGCCGGTCAAAGTGCCTCCTGGTCTGGCTGCATTCAGCCCAGCCTGACCCTCGGTACTTCCCTGATTAAGAGGCCACAGTTGGTACTTTTCCTGCTGTCAGAATTTCACACATTGAGATTCAACAAATATTTATCGAGCCCTGATTGTGTGCCAGGCACTGTACTAGGACCTAGTACTTTCTCATAGAAATGGAGTATGGAAGAAATGGAATACATTTTGTGAAAAAATGTATATATTCTCAAATAAAACCACCTTATTGTTTTGCCTACATGTGAGACCAGTGCACAATGTTTTTTATTTAGAATCTATGGCAAAGTACTAAATGGATTCTTTCATAAGTACACAGCTTTCGAATGAGGGATACAAAGAGATACCGTAAATGTGATATGCATTTTCCTAAGGTGATCTCTTCACTGACTAAATTCTTGCTAAATACCGTATTAGAATCTGAGGTTTAAGTAAATCAACAAAAACTGTGCAGGTACTCCCCATATATACACATAGGAATAATTATTCACTTGCCCTAGATAATCACGTTTTAAGATTTAAATTATGAAATCACCTTTACAGATGTTACCTTTTCCAAAGGGCTTTCTACTCGGGGGATGCTGATCATTGGCATCTGTGCCAGATTATCCATGTGCATATGCTCATTTTCTGGTTGTCTTCCTTTGAAATTATTGACCACGCATACAACCTAAAATTTTAGAAAAAAATTATAGTTAAATCAAAACTATGCCTCCTGTGACTATCATCACCCTTTTGAGGAGCTTAATAAATATAAACATGTAATAAATTATTAAAATGACTTAAATATTACTTATATAAATTTATATCCAAATTTATCTTGTATAAATTTTAATAGCTACTCCAATGCAGTTATGTTCAAGAAAATTCTCCAAATAATATGTAGCTCAATTAGTAATGACAATTTTATTATTCTAAAATTTTCATTACATTATAGTCAATGCTCAAATCAATCCAAAAATAACATCATAACCTTATAAAAATTCATAGCCAGCTAACCTTTCCCTAATGTGGCTAACCTATGACTTAATTTAAATGATAATTATTTTCCATTGCTCCAATATCGTTACATTCATAATAAACCTTCCACAATTGGCACTCTCTAATTTAGTAGCATCCCTTTAATTAACCTAGTTTATCTTCTTTTTTTCTTTTTCTTTTATTTCAGCATATTATGGGGGTACAGATGTTTAGGTTACGTATGTTGCCCTTGGTCCCCCCCCGCAAGTCCGAGTTTCAAATATGTCCATCCTTCGGATGGTGCGCATTGCACTCCTTGTGTATACAAATACCCCTCCCCTCCTCCCTCCTCCCCCCTCCCCCTTGCCCAACATCCAATAGATGTTATTCTTATATGTGCATTTATGTGTTGATTAGTTAATACCAATTTGATGGTGAGTACAAGTGAATCCCATTCTTCTGCTCTTGTGGTTAGTTTATCTTCTATTATTGCATTCTATATATACTTGACATTTCAACAATAGTTTTCTGGGGCTACTACTGAAATAGAAGACCCTTTACATAAAAGAAATTGACCCTTGTTTCAATTGATTATATCCCATAAGGGACAGAATTTGAACTAAACCAGAGATTCTCACACCTTAGTATGCATAAAAATAAAGTTCCGGTGTTGTTAAGAAATACACACTGCTAAGTCCTCCCCTAAAGATTCTGATTTAGTAAATGAAGAATGGGGCCTAGGAGTTAGCATTTTTAAAATGAAGTCCATAAGCTTCTGATGCAGGTGGGTCATATTAAGAAATAATGAGTTAAACAAACCAGGAAAATTATTTGCTATGTTGACTACTATGTAAGGTATTCTTGAGTTTTCTTTTTCTGGGTTTTATATTCTATTATAAATTGAAATACGGACCTTACTTACAGTTATAACCTAACATTAATTTTATAAAATAAACATTTAATATACAACTGTATATTCACATTGCACACTTTCACAAATGCTCCATTAGAAATCTTTTTCTTTAGTAGGACTCATTACTGAATATCTTCAAAGGCCAATTAGATCTTGGTTACTCTCTGGTTTTTAAATGAATTCACAAATCTGTAAAATAATAACACATACTATGAGACTTTATGTCAGGAAAATATTTCCTTGCAAATTGTTATATACTTCTTCTCCTTCCACTTCCTAGAAGAATTAGAGATTGGAAACATAGGTCAAAGCCTGATGATAACTAGATACCTCAACTTGACCACTGCCACCAAGATCTTTAAAGTAAGGAATGGTAAGGGCTTGGCGATGGTTATATGATAAACCTTCTAGCAGATAATGTTGCCAGCTTCAAGATCCCACAAAGGACTAATAGACAATGATTGCCCTAGAGATAGGGTCAGCAAATTTTGTCTGTTAAGGGAAAATAGTAAATATTTTTGGCTTTGCAGGCTTATAGTCTCTGCAATAACTACTCTACTCTGCCCTTTGGTGCAAAAGCAGCCACTGGCAGTTCATGAACTAATGAATGTGTCAATGTTCCAGTATAACTTTCTTTATAAAAATAGGCAGCATGCCAAATTTGGTCTGCGGGCTGTAGTTTGCTGACTGACCACTGCTCTAGAATACAAAGAATGTAATCAAGAATTTTAGCCAACAATAACAATGAAACAGTCAAGCAGTTTCACGTCTATTCCATGAAACACATACATACATATACCTACATTTCCCTTTTCATTGGTATTATAAGTTATTGGAAAAATGGGCAGATGAAAAAATGCTGATAATTCTTCTGAAGTAAAATTTGTTGAAATGAAATAACTATGTACATAGACATATGGAACTAATGAAATGAAGAAAAGTTCATCCAGAGTTAATATGGGCTTCTGAAATTAGTACAATTATGTTTTATATTATTTAGCTTTGAAAAACTCTTTGAAAGGCTGATCAGTTATCTCTTTGCCTTAATTAAAGATCAGGATAATACCACTGAAGCAGCTGAGAATTCATGTGTGAAATACTTAAGCACTTAACACATAGTTGATACTTAACTAAACAGCATCTTTAGCAAAATGATGATTCTTCATTACTCTTATTATTTAAATTATTACAAGGAAAGAAATTGCCAAAACTTCTTTAGAATCATATTACATATTTAGTAAGTCTTGTCTGCTAACGTTCACAAGTATGGAACTGATTTTCTATTAGTAAAGATGCTGATAAGAAAAAGCAAGGAAACCTCGTTTTTGATCCTGAGCCTTCCTGAGTCTGTATGTTCTTGGATGGTTCTCTGGGTCTTAGTTTTCTCAATTAAAAGTGAAGATGTTGCAATAAATCACTAAATTTACTTCATTTCCTTGGTTGGCAAAGGTATGACAAATTCAACAAAAATTCAGAACTAAACTCAAGATCTGCCCATCCCCTGGCCTCACTTCAAACCTTGATCTTTTTCGGACCCTCTCAAGGAAAGGCACCTCCCCATCCCCCCCACACACACTCACCTCTGCTCCAATGCAGTTGCACAAGGCTGAAAACTTGGATTTATCCTGTATGCCTCTTAGACTTGACCAATCACTGAATCTGCTCAACTTTACTTTCTAACTATCTTCATCTCTAAATATTTTGATTTCTTATATCTGCTTCATTCTATCTCCACCACCAACTCCAGGGACTAAGCAGCCACCACCACCCACCTCTTGCCTGAATTCCTGCATAGCTTTCTAAACTGTCCCTTTAAATCCGGTCTTGGCCCCTCGGATCTATTTTCTACAATGATGTGAGAATCATCTTTCCAAATGCAAATTGAGTTATGTCATCCCCTTAAAGCCATTGTGGCTTGGCTTTCCATTCCTGTTAAAGTGAAACTCTGGCCCACCTTTGCAGCCATCCTTCTCTCAGTTTTCCAAACACTTCTGTTCCCTTTCACTTCCTGCTGTTTGGAGTACTCCCCATCCCCACTGTCTCTGATGCTATATCCAAGTAGGCCACTAACTGGTCTCAGCATCACTTCCTCATGGAAGCCTTCCTTGATCTCCTGGCTGAGACTTATTTTGTTTCTGTTTGCTTTTTGCTCACATGAGACTGTGATTCCTTTTATCAAAGCACTTATCTCAATATGAAATTATACATTGTTTAGAGTAATATTTTGATTGACACATGTCTCTTCCAAGGCTGTAAGCACCATCCTACTAAGATGATACTAATAAATCACCATTACCCACATATTTTTCTTTTTCCAGATGTGATACCAAATTAATCCGGTCATTTGATCATTTCCCCTCTTCCTTGGTGGCAAATGAAGCATCATTATGGCATGGGGTTAAGTGCATGGACTTGGGGGTCAAACAGGCCTGGATCTTAATCCTAGGCTCTCTCATGGCCTAACTTTATGAACGTGGGCAGGCTACTTAATATAATCAGGCCTCAGGTTTTTTTCTGCAAAATGGGGACAATAATAATTACATCTCAATGAGCTGTTGTAAGGATGAATTAATGTAGTAAAGAGCAAATAATTATTATTATTATTTCATATATATTTTAAATACATTGTGGTGGCTCAATAAACTTGAACTATTCTGGCTAACATTGTCATATATATCATTTTTGAAAGTGTTTTAAAGGAGACACTTTAATAAAATAATATTAATTGATCTATAACCATTGTTCAACTAGTATTTGTTTTGGATTTTGCTAAGCATGAGGATTTTGGTCTCTTAACTGAAACCAAATGCACGTGGGATAAGAGTGATACATTTAAAACAGAATATAAATTCCGTATTATACTGTAACAGAAACGACTGAGAGAGTGGTAGAAATTCAGGAAAATGAGAGAACAAGCTAATCAGAGAAACTTCCTGAGAAATTAGAACTTATCTGAGCCAAATCTCAAGTGCGAAAAGGATTTGAATATAATCGTCAAAGATGAGGACCATGATACCCAGTGCCTTCTCTGTACCAGGCCCTTCCTACATGTGGGAGTTCACTTAACCCTTAAAAGAGTTCTGGGAAGCAAATAAAACAGTACTTAATTCACTCATTCATTCATTCATTCATTCATCAAGTATTTGCTAAGTATTTCCTACTTACTGGGGATACACAGTGAACAAAAAGCAACACAGGACACAGTGCAGAGGTGAGGTTGTGGTGACCACTTTACCACAGAAGATTCTAGAGGAAATAACTTAGAATGCCCGATACATAAATTGTACTCCAACATTTGGTAGCTGGAAAGGTTCACATAACTATTTGCTTACTAGTTATAAATATTAACTAGTAAAAAGAGGCTGAGGAAGGAAAGCTACATCCCAGTAACAATTTAGAGGTAATCAAAATGGAAATAAAATATTTCTTAAATTATAATGCATCAATGTAAAAATATGTCGTGATTTGCAGTCTACACATTTTTTTTTTCCAGGCAAAATGTTACATACCCATACTTATAGAGGACCAATCAATATTAAAGTCAGAGTAAAACATATTTTCCAGCAACCAAAACCTATGGGAATATTCCTAGGAGATTTGATTAGAGCATAGATGACATGCTTACTTCATTAGAAGTCACTGCGTATGCTCCCCACAACTTGGTAAATTGTGATTCGACATGGTATGGTCTTGCTAACTGTGCATGAATTTCTAGTTTCTGAAGTGAAACGGCTCATCTTATAGGTGAGGTTACCTGTTAGAGAGCACTGTGACATGGGGGCTCATGAAAAGGACAGCAGGGAGTCACTAGGGTACTTTGGGACGCTCCAAATACTCCAGAACACCAACTGCTCTGAGGAAATTTTAAAAATATCCAAACAACCCAGTCTTAAAAACTATCTGGGGAGGACTGGGTGTTTCCAGCCCTGTTCCAAATTATATGAAGAAGTTTATATTTTTTTCATTCCTGAACCTAACTTCAGGCAGAATATATGGGAGAAGAGGAAGAAATGAATGCTTTGAAAATATATACATATATATTTAATATACGTATATTATTGTTTGATATACCACATTTAGACAAACCCAGTGATGCATACTTGTATTTTCTTATAGATAGTTATGCAAATTTAATTAAAAACCCAATCACATCTAAGTAACTTGGTACTTACCAGAAATACTGCTATAGATATTCCAACCAGAAAGCCTGCTATCACATCTGACCAATGATTTCGATATTCTGCTACTCTGTTGAGTCCAGTAAGAAAAGCCAAACACATTAAGCCCAAGCACAGAACTGGCTTAGCAAGTCTGGTTCCTTTGGCTTTGATTGTGTTGGTAATATACATCTGAAATATTAAACAAAATATATGAGTTTTCATGAAGGTATTTCCTCTATATGCATAGCACATTATATATATATACATATATATAGGGAGAGAGTTACATATGGCTATATGGTTAAAATCATTAACAATAGTTTACGAATTTTTGATGGAAGTTTCTTAAAGTAGAATTCAAAAATAGCAATTATTTAATTTTACTTACCTGATATGGCAATTTCTTACTAATGGCCAATTCTTATGTAACATTATTAATCATCTAGGAACACTGAGTACAAATATTCCAAGTGACCCTTTTTGTTTTTACTTTTACTGCACCTATTCCTGTTTTATCTGAAATTTTATTTTAGATCAATCTCAACAATATTGTTAGAAGTGGAAAACAAATGAAGTGTTTACATTTTGTATGCCATATTGAGAGGATGCATACTTGATAAAATCCGAATTGTGAATATAGCTAGAAAAAATAAAATGGAGATTTCTACCAAATAGATGTTACTTTGAAAAAATAATTTAGGTTCAATAGATCGCCAAAGTTTGCTTTTATGCTGTTATCTGAAATTATGAAATCACTTTAACTAAATTTTATCAGCCAGAATTAGGACAACCAAAAACTTAAGTACAACAAGGGAAATGTGTCAACTAAAACCAAAACAAAACAATGAATAGATACCTACGTTTTTGGTATCTTCACATATGCTAATGAAGAACAAATAGTGTCAACTGATTGCTGTGAATGAAATACCTCCAGGTAATGAGCCACCATCCTCAAGAGAAACTTGGTCCTTCCTCATGTGATTTATTCTATAGCTCAGTTACTCATAATTTAAACCATGTATCACTCTATCAGCAAATCTGTTGACTGCAAGTGGAATGTGTCAATTATTATTTCATTAGTAGAATAATTATAAAAGAGATTGCTTTGACAGTACAATCAGATTTTATGGTATTAATGTCAGTTTAGTATCTGGTACTGATAATATACTCAGAAAAATACTGAGAAATGCATATAAACATCTGACTGTTTTCCTCAGTTAAATAAACAGTATATCTGCTTAAGAAAGTAAACCAAAATCAGGGTTTTAGTCCACAGCAGTCATTTTCGTAATTATCATCTGTATTTTTATTTTTATTTTTTTTGCTGGACAAAGTTTTCAGCCCTTTTATCTGCCAAAAGAAGCTGTATGACTATTTAAAAAGTTCAGGTGATACAAGGCTTCTCTCTAGCCAAGTTCTAGCCTTTTGCAATCTATCTCAGATCGCAATGCTCCAGGGGAAAAATAGAAGCTGAATTGTCTCCGTCGTGGCCCGTGACCTTCAGAGCTAGGTCTGTGTATTATAAGCCTGCGCTTGGAAGAGCTTAATAATTTCAGTTATGAAGGATAAGTATACATGAGAGGAAAGAAGAGGAGATGAAAAATAGAAAATGATGCTTTTGCCATTCGTAGAGAATGTGTTAAAGAGCTCTGCCTACATGAATAACAATGCAAGAATATCACTCCACTTCAGGTTTCCAGTGAGGCAGCTAATAGAGTAGTAATTCCTTATATGATGAGTACGCATGAGTAAAGAGTGAAATTCAGGCTGCTTGTGAGATTTTCTTTAAAGTAGATAGATATAAGGTTGGTTAATAATTTCTTACCTTTGCAGTTATTCACATCTGTCAAAACTCTAAAGATATCCTATCCTCATTAAGACAAAATAAATGTGGGATGATAACTGAATAATATTAATACTGATAATATTAATTATAGCTACCATTTAATGAGTGATCACTGTTCAAGGCAATGTAAAACAACTCTTTAAGTTAGGTATTATTATTACCTTCATTTTATAGGCGAAAAAATTAAATCAGGGTAAAGTTTATTATGAAGACTGCAAACTCTATGATTGGGGTGGCACTGTTGAGAAGGGGAAGACGTAAATGGGAAGTAGGGGGAAGGTGCTTAGGTACCTCTTAACCTTCCTTTATTCTTTCTTTATTGATTTCTTGCCTGGAGGAAATGGCCAATGAACATAAGCTGAGTATCAGTGAATGCAAGAGAATTGGAATTAAAGATAGGAGAAAGAAGGCCACCATAGTATCATAAGAGTAAGACTACATTTATGCTCTGCTATTAGGGAGAAGTAGAAAGTAGTGTTAAGTGTGATCTGTGTGCAAAATCTCTTGAAGAATCTATATGGCTTTGGAAAACATTTGCCTTTCTCTCATCACCAAAAACCATCTCAGATACAGCCCACCCCTTATCTGTCCAAGTTGTGTAGGCCAATAGTAACCTGTGGGCTTGGGCTACCGCTCTCTGAAATTTCTCTTGAATGTTGAGTTGATTCCTAAATTGTAGTAATAACTCAAGCAAGGTTTATAAGGAGCCCAAAGACAGAGTCTGGCTACAGTGAAAACTCATGAGAAAGCTTCCATCATATTAGGAATAGCCTGGGAGTTGGCTTTTCCTCCAACAGATCCACACATTACATCCAGATCCAGAGTGGAGAGTGAATGGTGATTGAATTTCAAGGGTTATAGATTTAACTTTAAGGTGGATTACAGCAGTACTTTATAATACACAGCTTTTTCTGGAGCATAATCAGTTGGCATAAATGTCACAAAAGAAAAATTAGAGAGTTTTCACTTGTACTCAGCAACTCTTTAGTATTTTATGAATATAAGTGCCTTTTAACCAGTCTAATTGTGTTATCCTTATAGGAAGTCTATTATTCCTAATTTGCAGAAGAGGAAATTATGGCATAACAATCTATTAAGCAAGTTGGATACAGGACAGGAATTGATTATTTATGCTCTCTCGGTTTTTAATTCACTTATGAAACCATTTAGGATAACCAGATGTCAAAATGTAGCTAAAATAAAATGCAAACAGAAGGGTGTGTGATTTGAGCAGGATGATATTAATAATTACTCAGTCCTCTAGGGTCAGTAGATGCTCACCACCTTACAGGCCAACCTGTTTAACCATTATTAGCAGTCCTTATTCATCCATTCTATCTTAGTGCAAATACCTATTAGCACTAAGATGTACAAAGCCGAAGCTGATCTTTGCTCCTTGTTAATAGCCTCCTGGTGTATTTTCTTCTACACTTTTCTCTTTGCTTACACAAATATATACAATAATTAACGTATATACAAAGGAGTTTTGTTTACTTGTTTGCCTTTACTAAAATATAATCACAATACCTCATAATGTGAATTGACTCATTTGTTATAATAAACATTCATCTTTTGGTTCAATTGAGAAAACGTTGTTCTATATAAAAAACACTATTATAAAAATAAAAATGCACAGATGTTTGTTAAGCACCTACTGTGCACGAGAGGGTAAGCTAAGTTTCTGCAAAGAGGAGAACTCAAAGGTTAGATCCTGAAGGATGACCATGAGAGTCCCAGGCAAAGGGGAAGTGGTGAGGGAAGGTGTCCTAGACAGGAGACAGCAGAAGTTATCCTGCTCTGTGCTCTCAAAGCACTGTTTGTCCTCTCCCAGAACACTTGCCACAATGCATTTATTATTTATTTTTGTTGTTTCCTTTGCTAGACTGAGGACAGCCAAGTTTGGGTTCTTCACTGTCAGCCCTGTGCTTAGCACTTTGCCTCACGCTCAGTGAGCATGCAATAAAGACTAGAATTACTGAATAAAAGAATGAATAAAGGAAAAATGCAAAGGTATAGGGGAGAGAGAATAGAATATTTTCTTCATAGCACTTGTCACTATCTAAAATCATGGTCTCCATTTATATGTACATATGTTTGTTCTCTCTGTTAGAACAGAAACTCAGTGCTCGATTTGAAATGCATAGAATGTCTTTTACACAGTAAGAATTCAAAAATTGCTGAATGAATAAAGCATAAATGGCATGCTTAAGGAAAAGTGAATTCTTCAACTTTTATTGTCTGAAAGTACTTATCACTATTTGAAATTATCTTGCATATTTTCTTGTAGTCTGTCTCATGTAGCCTGAAGCAATCTCTGGTACGGAGTAGGCACTTGTGATAGGAAGAATATCAGCCCCCTAAAGATGCCCACGTCCTAGAAACATGTGAATATGTTACCTAATCACAGGAGTCCTTAAAAGTAGAGAACATTCGCTGGCTACAGCCAGTGAGAGATCCGAAGATGCTACGCTGCTGCCTTTGAAGATGGAGGAAGAGAACGCAAACCAAGGAATGCAGGCAGCCTTTAGAAGTTGGAAAAAACAAGGAGTGACTCTGACTCAGGTTGGGCAAAGGCAATATATGTAATCTAAACATTTGTACCCCTATAATATTCTGAAATAAAAATAAATAAATAAATTCTCTCCTAGACTCTCCTGAAGGGATGTAGCTGGGTGACAACTTGATTTTAGCCTAGTGAGACCTATGTTGGACTTCTGAGCTACAGAACTGTTAAGATAATAAATTTGTCTTAAGTCACTAAGATTGTAGTAATTTGTCATGGTGTCAATAGAAAACTACTACACTCAATCAATATCTGTTTAATGCATGAATGAATGAACATACTGGATTTTGTAAAAATATTCCGAAGGACGAGATAACAGGCATAGTGCTTAGAACATCCACTTTAGAAACAGAAAGGTCTAGTTTGAGTCCTAGCTCTGCCACTTACTTAAGACAAGTTCTTCAACCTGTCTAAGCTTTGGCCTCCTTATGTATAAAACACAAACGATAATTAGAATGCCATCATACAGTGTTGGAAGGATTGAGTGCCATGGCGTAGGTAAAGTATTTAGCACAAAGTTTGGTCCACAGTGAATCCTCAGTAACTGCAGGAGTCACGTCAGGGCCAGGCCGGAAAATACACAGGACCAGGACCTCGATTCTGTGGGCAGTTTCTGGTGAATGGAGCAGACCTAGTGGAGATCATTGGGTTTATGGGGGCATTTGGCCTAGCACCTGGAGAACTTTGTTCCTTCTCTCATTTTCATGCTTCTTTCACTTTTTTGTATGCTATTTTGCCATTTTTCCCCCTTTTACATCCTCTGCTTAAAGATGTTCACTA